GAGAGAGAGAGAGAGAGAGAGAGAGAGAGAGAGAGAGAGACCAATCTAACTAACTGTGTGCCTCGCCCCCTCCCCACACGATAGCAGAATTTCGAGTCTCCCGACATCTGAGAAAGAATATTTTTGGTTAGCGGGAGACAGGTATGCAAAGTGTGACACACACACAACAGGTGAGTTCAAATCCGAACAACCACCAACCCAGCAAACCACAACTGAAAGGACTGCAAACTGTGATCAGGTGTTTGACAGGACAAAAGGCGAAAAAAAAAAAGAAAGAAAAATATATATCCAAGGCTTACAAAGCAGCAGCAGCATTCCATCGGCAGTGTCAACGACAATGCACGGGTGAGACTGTGATCAGGTGTTTGACAGGACAAAAAAACAAAAAAAAAAGAAAGAAAAGTATATATCCAAAGCTTACAAAGCAGCAGCAGCGTTCCATCGGCAGTGTCAACAACAATGCACAGGTGAGCCTAAAAACCACCCCGACCCCACCCAAACCCACACCCGACCAACAAACCCCTACCCACCCTCATTTGCACCCTTTCCCCTTCATTTTTTTGCGGGCGAAGCCGCAACAGGTAACCTTGTTCCTCTTAAGTGACCTGAGGGCCTCCTTGGTAAGCGGCCACAGAAGTGACTTGTACCCACCAGTGGTTAACATAATGTGGCAAAAACAACATTGTTGTTGGCTAAAGCCCTTCCAAACAGCGAGGTAACGACATGTTGTATGTCCTTTTCGTTGTTTTTTTTCCCTTCTCTCTGAGGCACTGTATGCTTCCCTTACTTTGGGAAGATTCATTCTCGACTTGGGCCTCCACACATGCTCACCACATGCAGAAAAGACAAAACTAGTGACATGGTGCATCTCCTGTTTTTTATGCTGAGGTGCTGTATCTTTTCATTTCTTTGGGAAGATTCATTCTCGACTTGGTCTTCCCCACACACTTAGCACATGCAGAAAATACAAAACTCATAGACTAGCGAGAGGATGAGATAGATGAGTACTGGCAAGAAGATGAGATAGACGAGAGAAGAATATAGCCTGCTTACAAAAAAATAAATAAATAATAATAATAATAAACTCAAGACACACAGAGCCAGTGTATTTTTTTTTTCTTTGTTTTTCTTTTTCTGAGGTGCTGTATCTTATCATGTTCTCCTGTTCTTCGGGTCGATTCATTCTCGTTTTGCACATCTGCTGTTGGAGTGAGGCCTTGACTTTGGCCACGCCACACGATGCACCTTATCTTCCCCTCAGAGTCGTCATTGCATGTCGGGCACAGGAACTGCCATTTCTTTTGTTATCCCACCAGCCATGGCGTACCGAGACTCTACCACCCAGGCCCGGTACTCGTGTACGAGCTTCGATGAACAGTGATAGGGCGTGAACTGCTGGTTTAATTGTTACACCGGTAAGCTCAGTTTCCAGGTCGTTGTATTCTTCAAGCAGGTTGTCAATACAAGGTGGTGAAAAGGTTTTCTCTGGCCATAACAAGATGTAGTGTTTGGTGATTCAACATGTATTTATCTGAACCGCTAGACTGACACTATCTATAATAGAATGAGCCAGGACCCGAAGGCCCCGATACCTTTTCTTTTTAAGTTTTATCTACAATTTGCTGTTGCTCAACCTTATTTATTGGCATCAGATATGGCAGAACGCAATTCCAGTGATGGACAGTCCCCTTAGGAGGAAGGGAGGAAGGGAGAAAGGGAGGGATGAAGGAGGTTACAGGAACTCACCTGTGGATGGTAGCCATTGGTTATCTGGATAAGTAACATCTGACTGGTTGTTAGCATAATCCACAATATCACTATAAATCAAGAGGGCGATCATCCCTGCCTTTGCTGCATTTGAGACCTGCAATTTCCCCCCAGCATCCATTCACAAACCATACTTTAGTTTGTCACATGAAATCTTCATCAATATCAATCACATACCAACAGAAAAAGCTCTGATCTAAAAAAAAGGCTCCAAATTCATTGACGGTAAATAGGATTTGATCACTGGACTAATGTGAGGATAGAATCCCCCTGCAGCTCCTGTACATGCGATTGTGCCCTTACGTGCAATGCTTTTAAACCACGAGTACTTGGCCCACATCAGCCATGGGAAAAATAGAGCAGAAGCCTAGCCGGATGAATTTGGGCGCTCCCCAAATGCGCCGTTCGTTCATCATCGTCGCGGCTTGTTAACTTCTGCGACTTTAGGAAGCACTGGTGGTTTAATGTCTACAGTTTTACAGTTCCGGGCCACAATGATTGATGTCTTCCAGCACGTAGGGTGATCGTCCCTGTCAAAGTTAGGGCTAAGGCTTGTCGTAAACCATGTTTTAAACATACCAGGGGATGGTCCCTGTCAAATACACTGCTAAGGTTTGTCGTAAACCATGCTGTGATCATACCAGGCACAAAACACCGATTCCCCAAACCAAAGGAGATGGGCATGACCTCAGTGCATCCATGAGGGGGTTATGCGACAGTAGCACCCCAGAGGCCTCAAGACAATGTTTACAATGGAGTGAGGACAGAGGGAAGCAGCCACACGTCACCAACGCACAAACATACATGTCCTAGAGGGGATGAAGGGAATTGAGAGCAAGTAGAGAGGGATAACACAGATCAAAGGTGCCTCCCAGCTAATACTGACAAATCTGAGGGCGACATGATGAGCCGATGGACGAGAACAACAACAAGAAAATTACGAAGATACTATCATACGGATTCATACCACTGTAATGACCCGCCCAAGACACAGACTGAGAACACTGCTGATTTCTGGGATTTGCCAATGGAATGAATGCCTTGCTGTGATTCCCGCATTCTGCTGTGGTCCCAAGTCTGTGTGTGTGCGTGCCTGCTGGTTTGCATGCCTGTCTGAGTGCTTGCCGGATGTGTGTGTGTGCGTGCCTGCTGGGTTGCATGCCTGTCTGAGTGCTTGCTGGTTGGGTATGTGTGTAACCCGCCAGGGTACTTGTTGGTTGCAAGGCCCACCGGGCCGGTACTTACCTGTGGCCGTGACTTTGGAGGGTTGCAGGGGGGTAAACATGCCGGTAGCGGGGAGTAGGCCCACGGCACTTAGAGCAGCTGGGTAGCAGGTAGGCCGAGCAGAAGAAGACAAAAAGTTGGCATTTTTAGAGGCCCAGTAGCGGTAGGTTAGAGGTAGGCCGGTACCAGTCCAAGTAGCCCGGGTCTAGGGCCTGTGCGGACAATAACAGAGCCTGCAATGATGTTTCCCTCCAAAAGGGAGGAGGTACCGGTTGCTGGGAGGCCGCTTGGCCTAGGAAGTCACCGCCCAGGAGGCCGGTAGGCCGCTA